CTTTGTTTACATTTTATGAGGTCAATGAACCTTTTGTTTACATTTAGCCAAGTCCGCAACCTTTTTGTAAATTTAGCCAAGTCCATAACCTATTTTCGATTTAGCGAAGTCCACAACCATTTTTTTCATTTAGCGTTGTAAATGAACATAAAAAAAATCATTCGTTTAAGAGCTTGTAAATTATATCTCGAAGATCTGTGTAAAATTTCATTAAGATCGGTTGAGTAATTCGCGAGAAATCTTGACAACCGATTTTGAAGACACAATTTCGAAAAAATTAGAATTTGGGACATTATTCTAGAGATGTTATAGAATTAAACATTTTAATTTAAGTTATTTATTTTTGGAAGCCGTGAAACCCATGTAACCACTTAAATCTCTCCATCCTAACTACTAAGTTAATTGAACTTTATAACGGTAAATGGATTTCAACAAGTTAATTAGCCGACAACAGCACCCAAAATGGAAAAGCGGCAACAAATGCCGTCATGTACACACTTTCTATGGGCTAATTACCTCTTACAATTAATAGTTATGTACATATATCCGTAGCCCCTGCAATTGGCTTGCGATTCATACGCTGATGTGTGTATTTTATGTGCTTACCAATCATTTGGGCTCTTTACATATTCGCACAAATCGCTTCTAGACACATACTCGCTCATACATGTGATGGTGCTTGCCAATGGTGGAACCATTGCCAAGTGTAAGCGATACGCAAATACACCGGTTGGAGTTGGTACAACAGTTAACCGGCTGCGGCGATCGGCCAGCGATGGCAAACGACCTTAAACGAGTACTTGCATGCAAGTAACGACTGAGTTATTTGCATACCATATCGGCCTAGCGAAAGTAACAGTTATTGATATTGACACTTTTTAGCGAAATGCAAATTTCCACGCTACGTGTTACACAGTGGGGCAATGGACAACAAAAAGTGAACCATACAAATTTAAAAAACTTCATTACATCAAATTAGAGTAAAAAATACAACACTTCAATCGAATTTTGATAAACAATTATTTTCTACAGGTAATAGTTTTTTTAATTTTCAAATAAATAAATTACAGTTTAAAAAACTAAAAAAACATGCTTTAAAGGAATTTTTAAACCTTCTCCTATAAAGCTCTTCCCTAACGTCCTGTTTGTGAAAATTAATGCTTATGGCGCATTTATTTCGTCAGTTATCGCACTTTTAGTATATTTTAACATAATTGTTGTATGGGAAGTAGGCGTGGTTATTATCTGATTTTGTCCATTTTCACAGCGTATGAAAAAGGGCTAAAAGAACTTCCTCTTAGCAAATTTGGTTGAGTTAGCTTTAGCGGTTTAGAAGATATATACATTAAACCATTTAGGAGCGGGGTTACGCCCACGTTTAAAGTAATGGACAATTGTTATCAAATTATTGCATTGTCATCGGTCCTTGACACGTCTGCAAAGTTTCAAATAGATCAGACTTCTGGAAACCGGTGAAAATTTAGCTCTAAGATTACATTACATACATACAACCCAAGCTAATAAAAGCGTATTAAAAATAGTAAATTAAATTAGAAAATTAACTGTATTTAACAATTTCGTTTCTTAATAACTTAGTTAAGTGAATTTTTCCTCTTTCTTTCTGTTTTGTTTGCAGATCATTTGCCAAAATTGTACTAAAAAACAGTGGTTTAGGCTCAAAAACTTTAAGGATGATTCACCGAGGTAGGAACAAAGTTGTCCAGTACGTTGGAATACCTATATGAGAAAGGCGTTGCCCACTTTCCTAGTAGCTAAGCTGGCTACAGTACATTAATTAATACTTGTCGCTGGTAAACAGCTGTTGCTGGTTTATAGCTTCTCTAAACTCCAGTACCCACTTTTAACGAAGATCTCTGCACTGTTCATTCTCTTATTTTAAAATCGCTCTCAGCGCTTCCTCGCCTCAAAAACGATCACATGTAAGTGGAACAGCTGATATATTGTGTGTCAACAATTTTATTATCATTCTTTAATTTATTTATGCGAGTCTTACGCGTAGACCGCTTTACAGCTTCGCACCACACATAATTGTATTTACAGTTTTCTCTTTGTTCCCATAAGTGGCAAAAAGTCCATCGTAATGTGTACCATTGCTCCGCAACAATGCAACTACAATAATAAATCTACAAAAGAGGTACATATTTTATTGAGTTTTTTAATGGCATGCCACTCTCCACCTAAACCGTGCCACCAACAGGGTATATCCCCTATCGTTTGTCCTCCTTAATGTATACACATGCAAATATTATTGTACCCAATGGTGCGTTTTGTAAACCAGAAACTGGTACTTTTGTGGACAATACTGACGCGGCAGTTGAATAACTACATAAGCGAAATCTAAAGAAAATTGTAGGACGATTTGTTTATTTATATAATATATTTCTTTAACCTCTGGAGAAATCATTGTTCTGAGCTTTTGATGCTTTGCTGTTTTCGCCTCTTTACATTGTTGACTGGCAAAATGAACAGCTGAAGCCCCAGAATATGTTTCACTAATAATAAACAATTTGAGCACATATGTGGCAACTTCCAAATTGGGGAACAACCAAAATACATCCAAAGATTAATAAAATATTGTATTTTTTAAGAAACTGTATGAACATTGTTTGAACGAAAATGTTTTAAAACTGTGGACAAAACGAGCTTTTAAATTATAGAAATTATGACTAAACTCTGTATTCAACAGAAGTTCAAGCCTTTGTTTGAAGCATTCTATTTCGCAACCATTTTGCACTAGTCTTGAAATGTTCTGACCACACACAGACTCTCTTTTGTTTTCCATGCCCAATAAATACGGTTTGCATACATATTTACAAATATATGTGTGCACAATATCGGTGGTCGCGTGAGCTAGGCTTGTAGCGTGCAATCCAAAGCGTTTAGTCGAGTTTCTGCAGCGGTTCCAATTGCATGGAAACCGGTGATCGAGCGCGTTCAGTAGTACCAAGCGCTACAAGAGACTTGGAATTGTAACGTTGTAACGATCGTGCGACTAACGGCGAACGCGACTGCCAGTCTAGTGGTCGTTTCATTGGTTGGGCGCTCTAGGGGGTCGCAATATTTAGCTAATTAACGAGCCGAAGGGTCTTTGGCATGCATTATTGAATTAGCAATTCAAATACATGCAAATATGTAATATTCTGTATATTTACTTAAAATATTGTTGGCAATACATAAAATTAAATGGAGATGTGAAGAAGTGTAATTTTTTTTGTTCTGATTTGTCAGGTAATTGTAAAAAGCGTTATATAGAAGTAGAATATGTGATAATTACATATTTTTTTGTACTTGTTTGATTAACTACTGTGAAGTAATTTGGCACGGATTGCAAACTGCATTTTGAACCAGTGAGTGAGATGTGCGGTTCATTTTCAGAACAAGTCTCGCGTATAAACAAACATACATACTCGTACATACATACAAAAATGTATTCATATTTCAATATAATGCACTTAGTACGGTTTATAAACGATTTTATGAAAACTTAATTTTTTTGCCAATATTTTGTAATTTTTTTTTAAGTAAATATTTATTTCATTATCTTTCGTTAACTAGAAAACTACTCTTATGAGTTTATTATTATTATGTTTTTTTTTTGCTTGTAGTTTTTTGACAAGTGGATCGTCCTATATGTTTTGAGCCTTCTCCGAACAGCTCTTAAACTATTTTGAAAGGAAATATAAACGGGTGTTCGCACTGGTCCTTACACGCGTCGCATTCTTTCGAAAAACTTTTTATAAACCAATATTATATTAATAATATTTTTTTGGATTGCTCCACGCTCGCAATCTCGTGGTTAAAAATGAGCGCAACAAATATTTATAATGGACAATTTTGCGCATAACTAAAACTTATTGACAACTATGTAGTTAATATTACAAATATTACATGTATTAAAAAATCTAGCAAAGCAATCTTTACCGGTATAAATAATTGATTGGATCAGTTCTTCGCAAGTGGAGTAAAAAGCAGTTTTAGTCAGCGATTAATCAAAGCGTAATTTGCACAACTGTTTGAACCGAAGCGTAAGTCCTTCCAATATTTATAAAGCCCCACCAATTTTCGTCAGACATATTTTCTCTATTATGAACTGGATGGCATTAAACACTAAAATCCAACGAACTTGAGCTGGCATCGTAACTGCCGTAAACTGATTGTAAAACGTGCAAAAACTGATTCATATTCGTGTATGTTTATATTAAGACAGTGAAATCATAGTTAAGAGCAGTAAAAATAAATGTGTGCTAATCAAATGTTCAAAACAAGCATGTTTTAAAGGATTATATATATTTAATTAAAATCAATAAAAACAAGGAAACTGAGAGCACAGAAAATTATTATTTCTGAAAATAGTTTATAAATGAAATATTCAAACAACGAATCAAAATATAATTTAACTTTACAATGGCCATAACCAGCGAGTTCCTGCATTTAACCATTGTTGTATTCCTTCTAATAGCCACAGCCCAGACAGTCGAAGAAAGGTAAGCACTCCACTAATTTAATGTTCAATTAGAAATTTATTTTTTATTTTAAAAAACAATTGTTTTTTTTTTTTGGTGCCTTATATGCCATAAAACCGTCCAGAAAATTTCGATCAAATTACTTTAGTATTGGAATTAGCCGCAAGGTTATACTTATGTATAATAAAATACTACATAATAGATGACGCCCATTTATTGGATCGTTCATTAAGTAATTTCGTTTGATGACAACAGCTGATCATATTGAATCAGCCAACTCACTCTTAGCCGCTTTACCGTTATATATTTGAACAGCTGATATAGTAAGGCTTCTTTGTCAAAAATTTTCTTAAATTTTTTATTTGGTGCCTATGGTTTGGTATTCTATAACGGCATTTTCGGCATATTTTACTGTTTTATTATCTAAAGGGTAAAAATGCAGTTCAAGCAAGGCAAAAATAATGGGATGTGTACGGAGAAGATGTGTTAACCGAACGCGGAATGCCAAAATTGATTTCCAAAATTTCTTTCCGGCAATTTCGATCTTGCGTCCTGGAAGACAACTTAAACCCGCTGTGGATAAAATAAAGTCGTTGGTCGATGCAAATCGTCGAAAAACAACTCGAGAGATTGCTGGAAGATTAAATTTGTCTAACGCGACCATTCACAAGAAACATCTAGGATAAACACCAAAAAAAAGGTTATGTGTTTGTTTGGTGGCATTTCAAAGCGATCGTTTATTTTGAGCTTTTACCCGACAATTACACGATTAATTCTGAAGTGTATTGTGATCAACTGGACAAATTTAATGATGCACTCAAATAGAAGAGGCCAGAATTGGTCAATAGAAAAGGTGTATCCAATAGGATAATGCGAGACCTCATACAAGTTTGATGACTTGCCAAAAGCTTTTGCAGCTTGAATGGGATGTGTTACCACACCCACCATATTCTCAAGACTTGGCACCTTCGGCCTATTACTTGTTCCGGTTTCTATAAACTTTTTCGGATGGAAGAACATTCACCTCAAATCAGGACGTCAAAAACGTGTGTTTAAACCGCATTAAAAAAAACGAAATTACTTAGTGAACGACCCAATATTTACAAACTTGCTATTGCATCATATTTTGCAAAATATTCGAACAAAATAAACAAATGGTATGACATCTAAAGTAAATGTATGTATCATAGATGAAGAATGAAAATTTAACACCCCTCGGAAAAACAGGTTCTTAAATACCTCTGAAAAATACTCTTTAAAAAATGGTCTCTTTTTTCGTAAACCTAACCGCTTAAAACATATTAACGGGAGCGTTGTTGGTGGTTTATACTTATGTACGTACGTAATTTGTCATAGAGTTGTCACTTTTCTAGTACTTTTGAAAAATACTGTAGTATGGTGGATGCAAGAGAGATTTTGTGAGATAAACCACATGAATTATCTAACTACATACATACATATATTATTTAAAAGGAGGGTACAGCGATTTAGTTATCGAACTAATTGTTTACTGAAATGAATTTCTTAGAATAGATTTACTTATTTTATAAGCTTAATTCGACTAAAGATTTTTTACTCATTCCAGCGCCAAATGGATCTGCACCTCAACAGATTTGTGTGTCATCGATTCGGCGGCAAATATTGGTGATGCCAAGCGCTTCGAGAGCCAGAATGATTGTCGCCTCTCATGCGGCAGATATGGTGCTATCTGGCCCATGCCCAATGGCGACTGCAACTTATCCAACGAACGCGTGCGTTTCGACCCGTGGAAGGTGAGATTCAATGTGGTGGCGCCCGACCCGGCTACCACGCAGTATTTGCGAGAGTCGAATCGCATTTTCGTCAGTAATATGCTGAAGGAGTGTCTGCGGAACTGTTCGCTGCCGAATAGCAAAGAAGTTTACGTAAAGGCTACAGTTAGTTCGAATAGTTTGGTGTTAGACTGGGGCACGAATGAGACTTATCAGCTGATTTTGCGCACAACAGGTGGGAATGACGTATAAAGATACATAATAAATTCAATAATGATCTTTTTTTTATTGGTAATAGAGATGGCTACATTTGTTGATATCAAAGCGCAAACAGTCTACGGGGCTAGGCATGCGCTGGAAACCTTGAGTAATCTCATAACAGGCAGCAAAGAGTAGGTTTGACTTATATTAATATTTACTTACATTTTAAATACTATACTAGTTGTTGTTCTTGTTCTGCTTGAATTGAAAATAGAAATGGTCTACTGTTGGTGAAAGCTGCTCGAGTTCGCGATGGACCCATTTACCCGCATCGTGGCTTGCTTTTGGACACCGCTCGCAATTATATGCCTTTGCGGGTGATCAGTCGCGTGCTTGACGGTATGGCAGCCTCGAAGATGAATGTGCTGCACTGGCATGTGGTCGATACTCAAAGCTTTCCACTGGAAATTACGAGAGTTCCCGAATTACAGCAGTAAGTATATGAATGATGGATGAATGATTGATAAGTGATAAAAATAATACAAAATTTGATGAAATGAAATGGATGTAGAAACAAAAAAGATGAAAAAAAAATAAAGCAAAATACGATTATTATTCTAAACACTTATTTTATTAAAATTAGTAATCAGCTAATAAAATAATAAAAAAATAATAACAAATAAAAAAAATGAGAAAGGGCTAAATTCAGGTGTAACCGAACATTTTATACTCTTGCAACTTTATGCCGCATAAAGTGAGTCGGAAGTTCCAAAATCTTTCTGTTAGGTATATGGGGGCTAAGAGAAGTATTGACCCAATTCAATTCATTTCTGAATATAGACATAATATTATCAGAAAAGGGTTCTTTCCAAACTCCAATTATATATATCGTGCATTGAACGATTATTTCGGTAAAAAGTCAACCATGGACACTTGGGTCCACATCTTCACTATATGGGGGCTTATCCAGTTATGGCTCGATTTTGACAATTTTTAGACTTGAGATGTCATATCTTAGAGGCACTCTTTTTGCAAAGTTGTATTTCAATATATTCATTAGTGCTTGATTCGTATACTGGAAAGTCAAAATATAAGATGGAACTTAAATTTGTGTTATATGGGAAGTAGGCGTGGTTTCGCCAATTTTTACACTGTAACATAAACATGTCATGTCCTATGTACCAAATTTATTTGAAATCAGTCAAGTAGATCTCGAGATATGGGTTTTCATCTAAAAGTGGACGGTACCACGCCCATTGTCCAATTTATATAATATATTGGCTCCGATTAAGCTCAATTGTACCATTCTAGTTTTAATCAAAACCGTTATATGGGGAGTGGGCGGGGTTATCCCCAGAATTCACCCATTTTCACACTCTCGGTAGTTATGGTAAAAAGATTTGTCCTCAGTGATTTTGGTTATTATAACTTTAGTGGTTTAGAAGATATGTACATTGAACCTATTAGAAGGCGGTACCACGCCCCATTTATATATCATGTATATACTTGTACATATGTATATGCATATAACCCAATATCCAACTCGATTAGTTTTGGGGGATACAAACAACCGATAGGTGAACAAAACTATTATACTCTGTAGCAACATGTTGAAGCAAGAGTATAAAGATTAAAAAGTGGATTTAAAATCAAAAGATTAAAATTTAGATTAAAATGTTGTAAACAATATAAATTAAAGCAAATTTAAACACGGCTTTTGCATTAATTCGAATATATTTTTTACCAAACCAAAAACCACAAGGTTTGGCGCCTACGGACCCGATTTGGTTTACAGCCGCGTCGACACTCAAAACATGGTGCGCTACGCACGCCTGCGCGGCATACGCATTATTATCGAAATCGATGGGCCCTCACATGCTGGAAATGGTTGGCAGTGGGGTCCCATGTCGGGGCTTGGCAACATGGCGGTCTGTGTCAATCAACAGCCTTGGCGTTCATATTGCATTGAGCCACCATGTGGGCAATTAAATCCACTCAACGAGAATATGTATAGCATAATGAAAGAGATTTACGAAGATCTTGCTGAGGTGAATGCACCCGAGGAGACAATTCATATGGGTGGCGATGAGGTGTTTATACCCTGCTGGAATCGCACAGACGAGATAACACGTCGCATGCGCGACACCGGTTATGATTTGAGTTTACGCAGCTTTTACAAACTGTGGGCAGAATTTCATCAGAAAAACTTGGACTCATGGGATAATGTAACACAGCGACAGTATGCACGTAATCCAATACCCAAATCGGTAATACTGTGGTCGAGTCACTTGACAGATCCCGATATTATAGTCGAGCATCTACCCAAAGAACGTTACATCATACAAACGTGGGTGGAATCAGATAAAACACTGAACAACGATTTGCTGCTAAAGGGTTATCGCATTATAGTGTCTACGAAGGATGCCTGGTATTTGGATCATGGTTTCTGGGGACGTACGGAGTATCATAATTGGAAGAAGGTGTATGATAATCGCATGGAAGTGCATCCACTTGTGTTAGGCGGTGAAGTGTGCATGTGGAGTGAGTTTGTGGATCAGAGTTCTGTGGGTAAGTGTGGTGAAAATAAATTATAATTTATGTAGCAGTAAATATATTTTTTAAAACAGAGGCACGTATATGGCCACGCGCTGGTGCTGCAGCAGAACGACTATGGGCGAATCCGAAACTATCGAGCTTGCTGGTGCAGACACGGTTCTTACGTTATCGCGAACGTCTTTTGTCGCGCGGCATAAAACCCGACGCTGTCATACCGAAGTGGTGTGTGCTAAACGAGGGGCAGTGTTTGTAGATATTTATTCAAATTTATTCAATACAAATATAAAATATTAAAATATTGCTAGAAATTTTTTTTCAACTTTAGCACTACATAGGAATCGCTGCACATATATTTTGCTACCTATTTACTATATAATACTAAAAATGGACATACTTTGTTAGCTTAGTTTGTTATATAGCCTTGATCAATGGCATGCTTGAAAATCTGTGCAATGCGTTCGCGTTTTTTCTGCTCTTTAAATGGCTTGATGTTCCAGACATCGGTGAGCACTGCATCCTCCTTCATGTCATCCAAATCGGCCACTTCGTCGTCTTCGATCAATGACATTGGCAATGATTCAATGCCCATACCGCAACCGAATCGCGCAAAACGGCGCATTTCTTCTTGGAAAGCTTCCCAACTGAAGACCGCTGTCGGATCAGCACCTAAATCGGCGATCAGCGCACAAGCGCTCTGGTGATATTCCTAAAGTGTTACGATAAAGAAGTTTACTAGTCACCTCAAAAAAATATTCTTACAAATTACCTTCAATAGCTGTTCGTAATGAGATTCACGCAGCGCCTCACTTGTGCAAGAGTAGATAAAGAATGATATATCGACGGCGATGGAAGCACGACGCGCTAATTGGAAATCTATGATAACGATAGCCTCTGGATGCTGGTCCTTAGAGTAACGGGTTAAAAAGTTTGGTGTCCAGCAATCGCCATGTCCAATAGCCGCGAGTGGTGCTGATTTTTTTGAGTAAAAATATTTAAGAAATTTCAACCTTCAAGTTAATGTACACTTACAGTCCGATGAAACAAGTTTGATAAGATCATCATACAGCGGTGTGGGTTGTAAAAACTTCTTAGCTATAGTTTCGTATTCTGTGCCGGAATAAGTTTTTTCCACTGCATCCTTAGCAACATTACAGGCTAAACCGAGGAAACCAATATACCAGGAACGTTTGGCTTCATTATAGTATGTTTCCTGCAAAAAATCCAATTTTCATTAAAACAAAATTAAAGATAATGCATTTAGCCACTCACCTCCAAACCTTTTGCGGCTATTTCGAAATTTTCGGGCTCTAAGGCACGGAATGCTAATGAAATACCGTGGAAGCGTCCCAATGTACGCATAGTCAATATCGCATCTTCGAGGGATATGTAATCTTGTCTATTTGGCGCATTATACCCACGGAAACTTACGTTTTCCAATGCAATAAAATCGTTTTGACCATCACAGTGCGAAGCGAAACATTTTGGGTATTCCGTAAATGAATTGGCGGGCTTGCGACGCGCTTGAAATGCTTCCCAAGCAGGCACTACTTTTGTGTAGAAATTTATTTCATTTCGGAAGAAATCCGCTGAGTGAAACACTTTTCGGCGCGCAATATTATCCGGCATGCCTTTGCAAATCAGATGCACTTCGAGTGTTGAGCTGTAATATAACTTTGATTACTTTGTTTACAATTTAATTATTTGTAAATGAAAGCAATTACCCATTAGTCTCATTTACGCCGAAGACAGTAAGTCGATACACTCTACTCAGATAGGAGTCGCCTTTCTTGAAACCTTCGCCAAATTTATAGGAAGTGTGCTTAGTGCCACCGGCTTTCTGGATAATTTCATCCAACGTATTTTCAGTGAACTTGTTTGAAATTTCGGATAGACTCATAATTGTCCAATAACTGTAAATTTTAAATATTTAATAAATAAATAGAAATTTTTCCACCCGCACTTGAAATTAATTGTTATCACTTCGAGCGACTGCTACAGACTACAGCCAGTAGTTGATGCATTTACAATATATATAGATGTATATGTGAATACATATAAAACAATAGAATCAGCGAAAAGTTTTTAGTGTTGTTGTTTTAGATATATATACATATGTACATAAATTGAATGCACTTCTAGTGACGGTTGCAATTCTTGGCATACGTGGGTTTTTCTGATACGTTAAACTTAGCTGCCGCATCAACTGAATGCCCCCTTATACTACAGCTTTTTTAGATGGAAGCTCTTCGGATCTATTATTAAGCGTGCATAAAAGAGATAAACTTTGATAACAATATAAACCTAGGTTTATACAATGATAGATTCTAAGTTTAATTGAAAGATTAGTATAAACGTTCTCACTATAATGTTGGGACAATAACGCACTTAGAAGTTTATGAAAATGTTGGAAATAAATTAATATAAGAATTCATGCAAGAAACAAGTAACCAGTTGACAGTTCCCGGTTTTACAGAAAATTATGGTTGGTGCGTAGGAATTAGAAATTGGCGTCATAGGTATGTGCGGATGTCTAAATATACTTCATTCATACAGCTAATTAATCTTAATATGGTAAGTTTGTCATAAACCTCATATCTAAAATAGATACTTCATACAAATTGATTTGGACGCCATTAAAATGCTCATTTAAAGCAAACTCAAAGAATGCAATAGCAAAGTAAACACTTGAGTTTTTACAATCCATAAACACTTGATAGTATATATCTGATTGGTTAGTATAAGTATAATTGATATAGTATTATATAAATTTTTGTATGAATACTTCAGATTAAACTATTCAAGCAATTGTTGAGATGTTTTAGCTATTTGGAAATTGTTGATTAATTAAAACTAGTTCAACATCACTGCAACTATCTACTGCTGCCTTATATACATTTGTTATTACAGTGTTGTATTTAATTCATTCTTTAAGGTAGCAGAAACTATAAACGAGCTATGGCAAGCCTGTATCTAACGTTAAAAATTTGCCGGTACAGCTGTTCACGTAAAGCAACGCGCAACAAGTTAACGTTTTGTTTTGGCATTCTTTCGCCGAACGTTTTTGACAGTTTTGATAAAGGAAACTAATTTAGCAAAACAAAACAGTAAATAAATATATGCAAATAGCTGAACGAAATTGTGTACGGAATCCCAAAAAGGAGCTTTGCACATAAAAGTTAAAATAAGTAAATAAAACGTCGTAAAGTAGTACGTGAAAGTATGTGAATAATTCTACAATTAATATTGTAGAGAATTTTGTATTCGAAATAATAAATGAAAAGATACAAAGTTTTGTAGTAGCCATGAATCGTTACACAGTGAGTGCGCTAATAGGCGAAGGATCATTTGGGCGGGTCTACAAAGCCGTACGCAAAGAGGATGCACAAGTTGTAGCCATAAAGGTTATATCAAAGGTGAGGAAGTTATATACTATAAACATAACTGTATATTAACAAAGTACGCAATACGAAAATAAAAATATTTATGTATATTGATACAGCGCGGACGCAGTAGTCGGGAGCTGAAAAATTTGCGGCGAGAATGTGAAATACAGGCGCATCTTAAGCATACGAATGTCATTGAAATGCTGGAATCGTTCGAGACGAAAAACGATCTGATTGTAGTCACTGAATTTGCACTTATTGATCTTCATCGCTACCTGGCGCGCAATGGCGCTTTACCAGAGGAAAAGGCACAACGTCTCATTTGCCATTTAGTATCCGCACTTTACTATCTGCATTCCAATCGCATACTGCACCGCGATCTCAAACCGCAGAACGTGTTGCTCAATGAGGATTTACATGCAAAATTGTGTGATTTCGGTTTAGCGCGCAACATGACCATGGGTACGCATGTGCTGACTTCTATCAAAGGCACACCCTTATATATGGCGCCAGAGTTACTGGCTGAGCGTCCATATGATCATCAGGCCGACTTATGGTCCTTGGGCTGTATATCGTATGAGTGCATGGCCGGAGCGCCGCCTTTCTGTACAACGTCTATATTGCATTTGGTGAAATTGATTAAACACAAAGAGGTTAAATGGCCAAGCTTCTTAAGTAGCGAATGTCGCTCTTTTTTACAGGTAAGGGTGTTATGCAAGCTACAGTATATAGTCTAGAATATAATATTACTACATGTATGTACAGGGATTGCTGGAAAAAGACCCATCGTTGCGCATATCTTGGACACAAATATTGTGTCATCCCTTCGTGGAAGGCAAACTCTTTATCGCCGGAATCAAAGCGAATAATTCACCATTCACTAACCCACAAAAGCAAAAGAACACAAAAAGTACACGCTCGCAAAGGTACCAAATTTCCAATTCATATTTATTTATTATTATTATTATTTTTTGTTTAATGTTGGAAGTAGTTCCAGCTCAAAAGCAGAGGAGCTCTCGGAACGTATTGCCTCCATGAATCTTGCAAACACTTCGCATTGCACAAACGACAATTTGACTTCATCACGTGACAGTATTAACGCTATACCACCTAGTGATATTGAGAATCTCGAAACGGATGTTGAAGAGAACACCGTTACTGTGCCATTCGCTGATCAATCCTACAGAGATGCTACCGAATTGAAAGTCCACAATGGTGACATTGTTGTGCCCCACTTCAATATTGTAACGGAGGCAGCTGTGGCGGCACCTGCAATTAATTCACAAACTTGCTTTGTCAGCGGCAATACCAACATGATACTCAACCACATGAATGACAATTTTATGTATTTGGAAAACACAAATTCCGCGCCACCACAGCAAATGCATCAGCCGCAACAAAAGTCTCCCTCCGATAATGCCAAGTTGCAAGACACTTCGCCAAATACGAATGTGAATTTCAAAGTAGCTCGCAGCAAGGATTTGGAAAAGCGCAAACTCAGCCAGAATTTGGACAATTTCTCACTGCGCTTGGGACAGAGTTTCGATGTGGAAGCGCAGCGCAAAACCAATGAACGCAGAGAGAAAGATAAAGACAGAAACAAGGAGAAGGAGCAAAAGTGCAGCAAGAGCATGGCGCAATCTGCCGATGAAAAACGTAGCAACGAGTACGTAGCTCAGCACATGAGTCTAAACTGTTATTTTATAGATACACCATACATATGTATATATTTTTAGAAATTCACCACCATGTCTGCTGCCTGGTTGGGACTCCTGCGATGAGTCGCAGAGCCCACCTATTGAAAATGATGAGTGGCTGGCGTTTTTGAATCGCACAATGCAGGAAGTATTAGACGGTGAATTGGATTCGTTAAAGCAGCACAATTTGGTATGTGTTATTGAAACTAAATCTAAACTTTTCCAAAACAGAAATTTGCATTTTTTATGTGTATAACCTTAGGTAAGCATCATAGTGGCGCCACTGCGCAATTCAAAGGCCATACCAAAAGTGGTGGACAGTGTGGCCCAACTTTTGTCGCTGCCATTTGTGGCCGATGAGTCACCCTGTACTATTGAGCTGATTCAAAATGTAAATAGTATACAAATTCTGTTTAAAATATTAATAAAAGCCGTTACCTTCCCAACGCCTTGCAGGTTTATATCGACGTAAAGCTCGTGCCCAATCTCATGTATGCTTCGAAATTGTTGATCTGCCACAAGGGCACCGGCGATTCGAGCGCTTCCTTGACACAGCCACATGGCGGACGTGCCGTGCGCGCTATGGAGGAACTGAATAACGAGGAAATATGCACCACATCGCGTCTCTATGATCTCATCTGCCATTTGGTTCACTTAAAACTGCAGTTCCTAACACAATTCTGCGATGCAGTGGCCATATTGGCGGCAAACGAACTGCTAATTAACCTGCTGCAACATGGTTAGCGCTAGAAATAATTCAAAAGTATTACGAAGCTTTTAAATAAATACTTTATTTACAGATTTCAAGAATGCCAACGCGGTGCGCATCTCGAACTGCATTTTGGGGCTGTTGACATGCGTACTGCGCGAGTTGCCGGAAAATGCGGATTTGGTGGAGAGAGTCATATTCAGCAGCAAGTTGAATTTATTAGCGCTTTTCAGCAACAGCGACGATTTGCTGCGCATGCGCATGTGCATGCTCTTTCGCTTGTTGGCGCGTTTCAGTCTGCGCGGCTTGCAAAGTGTTTGGTGCACAGAGCTTAAGAAAGCAATCGAACGTTTGGCCGATGACGACAACTTGGAAGTGCGAGAGGTGAGACAAATATTGTATTTTGCTGTGGATTTTGTTGTAATTTTAAATTTCTCTAAACAGATTGCCGAGAGCACTTTAGAAGAACTGCGACATTTCACTTTCTATGCATAAAAGTGTCTAAATGCATACAAGAATGCTACAAACATGACAGCTACACTGGCAGCACAATAAGATGTATACCGTTAAGTTACTACCTTTTGCTAATGTTTACTTTTTATATACTTTTTATCATACAAAACTCTTTTTTATATATTTGTAACTCAATCCAAGTCAAATGCATGCAATCACATTTCATTTGTTACATTTCGTGTACGTTTTTCTGGACGGTTTCGTCTAAATAAACTATTTTGAAATAACTCTAACAATTCGTCTAAATACGAGCCCAGCCGATCAAAGCTAAATAGATCATCCGCATTGCAGTCCTCCTGGTACATTTCATTCAGCTTGGATATGTCCTTTTTGGAAAGTCCTTTGCGTTGACCCAAAGAGGCATATGGATCCTAAGGGATGGAGCAGTAAAATTATAGCTGTAAATAAAGCACGCAAAAAGCTTAACTCTTCTTACCAGCGGTTCAATGGTCGGCTTGCCATTCTTCGTGAACGCCTTCGAACTGTAATGCATTACACTCTGATAATCATACTCCACGCCAAAGTTGGTTATATGTGTGCGTGCGTATTTGTTGAAGTTGTGTGCATGCCCATCGAGTATGTTCTCCCAGTTGATCTTCACGTACTCATCGCGTTCCGTTGAGCTTTGCTGGTGATAGAAGCCGAGCGCGTGCAGCAGTTCGTGCACGATGACACCATGCGAGACGCAACGCGGTGTATTGAGGTTAAGTACCTGCGTTTGGTGAAAAGATGTGCAAAAATTTTATTATTTCTAATTTTGTAATGGTATTTGTGGTGTGTGTGTGTGTGTGTGCAAACCTGTCCGCCTTGTCGACGGCCCACGCTGGACCAGCAGCCGGTATAATTGCCTTTAATGATTATCCAATTGGTGTCGCCCTTTTCATAGGGCCGAAAGCGTATGCAAGTCTTTTCGTGGTACTCTTTGAAGGCCTCCAAAATGGTCATCATTTGCGTTTGATCTGTGGTAAATATGGAAAGAGAAAAGTGCTTTAAAATCTCTCAAAATTGTGGAATACACAGCTATAAAAGTTGTATGTGGTGATATCCGAAGGCAGTGGACTTAGTACTTG